ATGAAATACAAGTATAACACAGGCAGGGAGCTGGCTTTCCGATCAAATCAATGAACTCACCTAAGCTTCGTTCACTTTTACAACGGTGCACTCATCTGCACATGCCTGTATACCTACAAGTATATGTATGTTTTTATGCATGTGTGAATGGCTTAAAGTAGCGTTAACAAGGGAGTTCAGTAGATCGCCGACTAATTGTAGCGATTACAAAGAGAAAACAACAGTAAAACTTCAGTAGTAGTAGCCAGCAGTAGAAATTCAGGTAAGAAACGCCGCAAAGCATAATGACAAACAAAATTCAGGAAATAGGGCCGCGAGTCAGCAGCGTGCAGCAGCGCCACGATCTTAGCGGTACCCAACTCACCGTTTAATTAAGCACAAATGCGACCATGACCTCGCCAATGATGCGCTTATATGGTTTTTAATGAGTAAAGACTCAAATAAAATAATAACACCGCAGTTTAGTTTTTAGAAAGCAAAAGGGTCAGAGAGAATGAGAAAGTGAAACAACGAAAAATCAAATTGCCTTTTAATTAATTAAATAACGAAATGAAAATCATTGTTTGATAATGAATGGAGGTGAATTTTTATAGCATAAAATAATATAAAAACATCTTTATTTTGATCGGTTCCATTGCATGGCAGCTATATGCTATAGTAGTCCGGTCTAAATAATTTACTTAGAGATTGTACCACGATCTTTGACGGAGATCTTCAGCAAGCTTTATATAATTTTTAATTTTTTTCAATTCTATTTCTATATTGTTTATAACATTTTCGAGATATATTTAAAGCGTAGTGTTTGGTTGTAGACAAATTAGAGAATTATCGATCTGTTTTATGTTTATCGAGTTAACAAACTTTTTCCCAACAGTTATGAAAGTTTACTTTTTTTGAAAAAGTAGTACATATTTTACAGTAAACTTAAGAATTTAAAAGCGGTACCTCATTTTGGATAGTTCGAAAACGGATTTTTTAAGGCAGCTTATTATGTCTTATGTTCACCAAAAAATATTTTGCTTAAAGTTTTTGCTTAAGTTGATATGTAGGTAAAGTGGCTGTCTGACGACGCACCTAGGCCCTTAGTGGGCCCATTGTGAAACCACGGTGACTAAAATCCCCTTATTCTGTTATCTCATCTCTGAACCACCACGTGCTTCTGATGAAGTTCATCAGCACAAAAGGTTTTACCTGTGCTACCTTCGAAATGTCGTCAAGAAACCCTCGACTGATAGTTGCGACTCTTTTCCTATTCAAAGCTTTGCACTCGCATAGAAGATGTTTTATAGGTTCTTTTTTTTACCTCCTGACAGCTTCTACAATAGTCTTTATATGGTGTTACTAGTCTGCTTACATGTCTGTCAATTATACCTTTGAATCTTAATAGTCAGCACGTGCGGCCCATAATCCATTCATGCCATGTTTGCCTGCTTGTTGAGCGAGTTAGGAATTGACTCCACCGCGACTCAGCTATATTAATAACATATTTATCGACTAAATATTTCAAGTAGCCACAGGCATATAAATTGTCTCTTTTCATAATCTTGGTAATAATCTAGTTCGGGCTAGTTCATCTGTTTCACAGTTACCAGGAATATCGCAATGTCCTGGAAATTAGATGTTAGATCCATTAAGAGATCATTCTTTCACTATCTTTTCCGAAACCTTAAGAAACGTAAGTGATTACTTGGCTATCTGTCTATATGTATATATAAATATAATATATTCCTTAGTTTTTGCTTAAGTCGTTGAGATAAGATTCTAATCACATTTTCACTTTTTAATTTTAAAATCTGAAAATTTCTTAAAACGAAATTTTTTTTCAAATATTCCGTGGGTTGACAGAAATTTGATATTAATTAAGAAAAAGTTATTGAGATGAAGAAAGTATACTTAGTGATATTATCCATATGCATCAGATTAGTAAAATTTACGGATTGCAACAAAAAGCTGAGAATCTACTTGGTCTGTCTTCGTTATAGATTTTAAGATGTAAGCCGACATTAGTACAAGTATATTGTCAACTGCTAGTATGTTGAGTGTGTAGAAAAGTTTCAAATTTAAACTGTTATCTTGGCGGAACTTATATTGTTATGCAACTGTCCTTAAACCCCAAAAGGCATTAAAACAGAGCATTCGAACAAGTCTAACTTTGACAACTTAGAATGGGCCAAACCTAGACCAATTCTTTTAAATAAGTCCTCCACGGGTTACAGTGAGATTAGGAACTCGTTATGGGCCAAATCTTAGAATCACTCTTTTAAATAAGGCCTCTAGGGCGACAGTGAGTATAGTAACTCGTGCTATCTGAAACAGAATAAAACTACATTAAAGCTTTTTTAGTTTCACATCAATTTACACTAATAATAACGCAGAAAAGTCGTACGTAGTTTATTAGATAATGTTATACTATGTTCGCACCGACACAAAATTCGTGTTTTCATAGACAAAAGAGGTTTTCACGCGAAAACTTGTGTTTTCATCCATACAAAATCTGTCAAACGAAAACACAGTTCTCGCTGAAAACCCCTTGAAAACTTACATTCCACTCATTATAATCGGTGCCTGCTCTAGTTTAATCGATATTATTAGAAGACATATTTTGCCAGCCCTAAATGTCAGTTGACAATTTGTTTACATTCCATAATTGGCCTAAACGTACCCTACAAGAAACTGCTGATGGGTTCATCAATACACTCACATTTGATATGTCAGTACTGTTAATTTACATTTGCATTTTTAAATTCAGAACTATCCACTGATTGGAGAAAGACGTACGCAAAGCTATTGAGAGGAGGAGATGTCATCAAGTGAAAATTTATTTTTATATTTTCATATTTTATTATATTTTTTGTTGCATTCCTTTTTATATTTAAGTATATTATTATAACTAATTTTGATTAAAAGTTTGAAATTTATTAAAGAAATAAAAATTATATTATCTACTGCGCAAAAGAATTTTTCACTTCTGATAGCGTTTCAGTCATAACTGACAATTTTCAGCTATGACGGATTTATGGTCAGCAATGACTCAGAAAAAACAAAACAAACAAACAAAAAGAAAACAAGGCTCTTAAGAAAATTATAGAAACTTTGTTCTGCGCGCTGATAAAATTTTTTCAGCTATGACTGTTATATTACCGATTAGATAACCATCACTGTTCTTGTAGGGTACATACCAAATGTAAACAAATAGATTTTTGAACTGTCAATGAAAACTCATCGGAAACACACTATGTCGGTCAGAACGACTTTGGTTCCACAATCCACAAATTGTGTTTTCAAGAGGATTTCAACTCGGTACGAACATAGTATTACTGCGAACGAGTACCACGGTGCCAGTTTTGAAAAACGTACTTACAGTTTTATACATACTTCTGTTGAATCTGACTGAGCCGAACGCTTCGGCACTACAGACTACAGACGCTTGGATTGCCACACTTGTTTCCACTATTCTACCATTAATTTCAGGCAGCATCCTGTTTGATTACCTTCTGTATGAGAGTTGACTCTGTATAGAAACTCAACAGAGATATGATCCCCAGCTGTGATCTAAACTTTTGAAGCAATTTCCTTTAATTTCATACACTTTATAATAATTATGCTCAGTAAGTCGACCCTCTCTCTCTCTGCTCTATTAAATCCATTTGCCACAGCGTTGTTTATTCCACAGGTATGAATGTTTGACTCCAATTAAGTAACACACTCACTAATTCAGGTTTAACGAAGCAACAACTATTAACATATTGAACTAGTGTCAGCCGTAACGCATAATTCCGCAATGAAAGCAACAATAAGAAAACAATGATCACTTCATATCTAACCAGTGGATGTTGAAATTAGTCAAAAGCCAATAACAACACACTAAAGATTAACGAACAGGCGGCCGCCGCACGAATACCAAAACATAAGAAAGCAGTGAAAGAGTATGGAAAGATGGTGGCTCAGCTGTTGTTGGCCGCCGAACGCACTTGTTGCTGGATGTGTGCTTGATAACACACGTACGAATATGTGTGTAGTAATGTGAATGATGATGATGATCAAGTTGATTCGTGATTGGTATGTGGTATATCGGCTTTTGAAAGGTATATTATTGTTGTTGCAATGTCATTTAGTTATTTCGGTTTATTTTGAAAGGTTGTAGTTTTATAACATTTTGTTATCTTTCCGCTAGCAAACATTAATGTAAAGCTTATGCAGACTCTTTATGAGGCTATTCCCAAGTCGTCTTGTTGATTATCAAGTTTTACTTATGGTTCTTTTTGTTGCAGCTCATGATTACATGTTTAAGATTATGCTTTGTAATGTATGTAAATGAGGAAACGCTTCCGCCGCTCTCTCACTACACTGCTAAACTAAAGAAATAACAAACGAAAATTTTTAATTTGACAGAAAATTGCCGCCCCTTGAGCGGCCAATATTGAGCAAATATTTACTATTCCCTTAAATGGCAAATGTGCTTTGTGCCCGCATGTACTCACAAACCTAATGCATATATGTACATATGTATGCACCGGCTTTGAGGTTGGCCTTAAGCTTACACTGGCGTTTCCTCTGCATTTCCTATATATTTTTTGACAATGTTTGCACGCTCAAACTGTCTTTCAGGTGCGGCACGGAAGTGCTGGCCTGCCAAACTGACGCTGCTGTGTGGCAGGCAACTATGCTATGCGAAGCGCGCCAAAGGAGAGAGCAATAAAGCGCGCTGCGACGTGCGCAAAGGTCACCGCGCCAAAGCGATTACGTGTAAGCCTTGCAACATGCTGTAGCTACAGCAGCTGGCAAGCAAAAAGTACCTGTAAACTACCAACTAGCAACTAGTAGGGACCATCAGCTGGTAGCTAGGCCCCGGCTGCTGCGACGGCTTGGTCGGTCTAGGGAAGATTTTATGCTGCTCCAGCGGCGGCGTTGGTTCGTCGTCGTTCGTTTATATTATGCCATATTTTTGTTGGGTGTTTGTGCACGATTTTTGGTCGCATTAGTGCGCCTCTCCACGATTTGTTGGTTTTGTATTTTCAGTTAATGCTGGTTTGAATGCTTGCTAGCGTTAGCTTGGTCTCTGGACTGGCTTGCTGTCGCGCGCGTGTTGACGGAGCGAATGAGCTGAATATTGGTTGTTGGCTGCTGGCTGCCAGACTTACATAATAACCGAATGTGGTGTATAAAACGCTGCACTGTGTCAGTTAGCGTATCATTTGCAGTTTAACATTCAACGATTTCACAGACCGGAAACGAGACACACAGACGGTCTGCAGCTCCTGGCGTAGTTACAAGAAAGCGTGATTTGGATTTTTTCAGCAGACGAAATGGCCAAGTGGTTCATAGTGCGTATTCGATATTAGTGTTTTGTGCTATTTGTGGATTACAGTTACATTTGTAGATACGTTACTAATTTGTTTACTTCTTCCTTTTTTAACAAACTATTACAGTTGAGCGTTCTGCTGTGCGCCGGTGGTGTTGTACATAGCAAACCCACATTTGGCAAGGAACACGTGCACATTCGCATCCATCTGGCAGAGGATCATGGTCATGGCGGTGGACATGGTGGTGGCGGCTTTGGTGGTCATGAGACCGTGATTATTGATGGGGGCGGACATGGTGGCGGACATGGAGGCGGTCATGGTGGCGGTCATGGCGGCGGCGGATACGGCGGTGGTGGTCATGGACATGGTGGGGGCGATATCATTGGACCATTGACTGGCGGTCTGTTGGGCGGTGGTTTTATAAGTAGCGGACACGGTGGCGGTCACGATCACGGACATGGCGGTGGTCACGATTACGGACATGGCGGCGGATTCGGCGGTGGAGGTGGTGGTCATCATGAGACCATTATTTTAGATGCTGGCGGTCATGACCATGGTGGTGGCGGAGGTGGCGGCCACGGTGGCGGCCACGGTGGAGGCTATAGTGCAGGTGGGCATGGCGGCAGCGCTGAAACCCATACACTTATTATCTCAGATGCTGGCGGACACGGTGGTGGTGGTAGTGGTCATGGTGGCAGCTATGGTGGCGGTCATGGTGGTGGCGCTGAATCACATACACTTATCATCTCAGACGCTGGTGGTCATGGACACGGAGGTGGTGGTAGCGGCGGCTACGGTGGCGGGTATAGTGCAGGTGGACATGGCGGCGGTGGTGCTCAAGTAGATACCTATGCAATTATCAAGGAATCCGGTGGTGGTTACAGCGCCGGCGGTCATGGTGGACATGGCGGTGGCTATAGCTATGGCGGTGATCATGGTGGCAGCAGTGGCGGGGACTCACATTTGGCTAAAATTGCAGCCATAGCAACATCTAGTGGTTCGCACAGCAGCGGCGGTGGTGGTTATGGCGGCGGTGGCTATGGCGACAGTAGTGGCGGTGACGCACATTTGGCGAAAATAGCAGCCATAGCAGCATCTAGTGGTTCGCACAGCAGCGGCGGTGGTGGTTATGGCGGCGGTGGCTATGGCGGCAGCGGAGGCGGTCATGATGACGCACACATAGCGGCAGCCGCAGCTGCTGCCAGTTCATCTTCACATGGTAGCAGCGGCGGTTATAGCAGCGGTGGCGGCTACAGCAGCGGTGGGGACTCACATTCCATCGCTAATATAGCTGCCGTAGCAGCTGCCAGCGACTCACACAGTGGTGGTGGTGGCGGCTATGGCGGTGGCGGTTATGACGGTGGTAGCAGCTACAGCAGCGGTGGTGGTTATGGCGGTAGCAGCGGTGGCGGTCACCTCGATACTGCTGTTATTGCCGCAGCAGCTGGCTCACATGGAGACGCAAGTGGCGGTAGCGGCGGCGGTGGTGGCTACAACTATGCACCAGCAAGCGGTGGTGGTGGCTGGCAATCGTCCGGTAGTGGTGGTTGGGCGGCCTCCGGCAGTGGCGGCGGTAGCGGTTGGTACAAACGAAAATGAGCGTGTATTGGGGCGCCACCAAAGTATAGTTTCTTAAGAAAATGCATAAATATGTTTTCTAATGTTGTTATAGACGCACTTTAGATTAGGCATATTTATTCTAGTCCACCAAACCAGAGAGGCAGAGCAGTTGAGTAGCTTTCATTGCAGAAACCAAGGCTGACACCATTGTAAGGTCAATAAGTTGCTCGCCGCCCAAATCACCTCACGCCTTTCATTTTACATCGAAGTACATGCATATTTATATATACATATACATACATATATGTACCTAGTACGCTCATCATAAATTATGTTTGACAATCATTTTGTTATAAAAAATATTTTTATTTAAGTTGTTACCATATTTTTAAAGAAAAAAATGTGCTAAATTAAATTAATTTATATTATTAAATTCTGGTGTTTCTTTGGAAAAAATAATCTTGATAAGCTGCCACTAGGCTCTCATTCGCGCCTACACATACTTGCGATATCTATGTAGATACAAAGGTAGTAGTTAGCTGTAATGCCGCACGCAAGCGTCGCATTTCCGTAATGCATTCCGAAGTGTGTGTGAAATCCACTGAACTACATTTAATTGTTTGTCACAAAAGTATTACTTAATTAAAATGTATTACAGCAACAATTATGTCAATTTTCAAGCAACAAAAGTAATAATAAGATAATAATATAGACATTACAAAACCTTTACAAATGACAGAAGCCGACAACGAGCGCTCATAAAAGCATAAGCCATGGCTTCAGCAATGCTCCGCTTATGATCTAATCATAAGCTCATATTTGCAAGGGTAAAAACAAAAGACAGCGTAATGTCGCAATTACCGTTATGATGGCGCTTGCTTTTCCTCGCATTTTGTTTAATTTGCACATCATAACAAAGTAAATGCCAGTTCGCAGTGCGACAAAGGGCGAGCGCCGAATTGCGGAGTAACAAAACTTAATCGTCGAAATCAAAAGTGCCGCCAAATAACAGCTGACTAGAGCTTGGCGTGTCAATGACTTATGGCGCACAGTGTAGCGGAATATTTGTTTGCAAATGAAATAATGTGAGCTTACCAGGGACGATATTATATCCAATAGGGATAGTTATAACTTGAGGCTATCAGCAAATAATTTGAACCTGAGTGTGGGTTCGTACTTCCTAGAAAACATTGACCTGAAACATTCGACTAATATTGTTAAAGAGGGGCTACTGCCTCTTTAACTTTATCCTTCACTCCAGTCGCTACTTTTGAACCTCATAAAAAGGTCCTTTCGAACGAATATACTACAAAAACTAAACCTTGTATTTTCAATAAAAAGTACGTTAAAAAGTATGTACATTTAATTGGCAGACTGTAAATATAAAAAATTAAAATGCATTGTTCCTGTTGGAGAACTCCATTACACTTGTATTTGGGTTTTGGCTGAAAGAGAACACCTTTGGAATACATTTAAGTGATAAGCAAAAACAAGACGTTACTTCTTTCATTAAGCCATTAGGCTAGTGTGTTATTAAAAGAAATGGAAATTTTTTCGCTTAAAGTTCACTTTAAGGTCTTAAAAACATTAGTCAATTGGTGGTTTCTGTGCAATCCTGTAGTGCCAAAGCAATGGGCGCAGTCCGCTTCAGGACGTTTTCTGAATTTTTCGAATCGGGCGGCGAAGGTACTCAGACTCTATCGCAACTACCCACTTGAAATTTTAACGTTAACTTCACAGTAATATTGTCTAGGAAACTACGTACTATCTTTTTACGTTGTATAAATAATTTATTGCAAAATTTAAGTTAGGCTAAAAATTTATTATTTTGTTTCAGATAGCACGAGTTGCTGGAATGATTGACGCCCGTAGAGGCTCTGTTGAAGAAGGTGATTTCGAAGATTGGTAAGGTTTGGTTAAGTTAGACGGCAAATCCCGCTGCACCTATCACAAATCTGCTCAGGTGCTTTATTTCTATTTCCGCTATTTCACCAGGATGTCTAAAATGTAAAACAAAATGAATATGAAAGGCTTGCATACCAACACATTAACCATAAATTGTTCAAACTAATACGCCACCCTGTGCGCTTGCATCCAGCCTGAAAATATGCAGCAGTAATATTGCGATGTTTTGCCCGCTTTTGAATGGAACAACCGTAAATAAAAATAAATAAATTTATTTACATTCTCTGATTAAGCCATTTAAAGCATTTTAAATACATACCGAAATGCGAATAATATATATAAGTTCGGGATGACGAAACGAGTTGAAATCCGGATATCTGTCTGTCCGTCTGTCTGTTTGTGTAAGCTGTAACTTGAATAAATATTAAGATGTCGTGATGAAACTTTGTACACGTTCCTTTTCAAAAAAGAGTGGACGAGTTCGTAGATGAGCGTAATTGGAAAACTAGCACGCCCACAAAACCCCATATATCGAAAATCTATAAATTGCCATAACTTAGCTGCAAATGGGCGTCTCCCTAACCATTCAAGCTATATCACCAAAATTTTCGGTAGAAAAAATCGATTGATAACGACGCCCATTACGACGATTATCTTAAAAACTACTAAAAATGTAATAAATCAATTACTACCGGTGCACCGGTATGAATTGTGAATTTTTGAGAAAATGAAATACTAATTTTGGATGGCAACTAACAAGATTTATTCAAAGTATTAGCCATTGCTTTTTACTCATTTTGATCACCTTTTTGGCAATTTGTGGATACCATGCCAATAGAAATGTTCGTCATTTGAGGCAAATCAATCAGACACTCAATTTTCGACTTCTACGTGGGAATCGAAGTGCTGCCCAGCCAATGCGTGTCCCATAGATGAAAACAAATGGTAATCGGAAGGTGCCAAGTATGGTAAATATGGCGGGTGAGATAGCAGCTCCCAGACAAGTACTTTGATTGTTCCTGAACCGATTTTGCTTTGTGTGCAGGTGCATTGTCATGTAACAAAATTTCTTTGCCGTGTCTTCTGACCCATTCTGGCCGTTTTTCGATCAATGCATGGTTCAAATTCATTATTTGTTCTCTGTAGCGATTAGTATTAAAAGTTTCACCAGGTTTTAGAAAACATTATATACCACACCCTTCTGATCTCACCAAACACAGAGATTCTCAAAATAAATCCATTTTTCCTCGCCAGTGACAATTTGATGTAAAAGTGATTTTCTTTCGTGTCTTTGAAGCAAAATTTCACAAGTGTTTTTCGGCTTTCCATTTGTCTTTCATTCAATTCATGTGGCACCCATTTTCCACACTTTTGGATCTTTCCCAAAACTTTCAAACGGTCTGAAATTGTTTGTTGTGCAACATTTAACATGGTTGCCATTTGCTTTTAACTCAAAGTATCATCTTCATCCAATCTTGCTTGCAGTTCGGCGTCTTCAAAGTTTTTTGGTGGTCTTCCACGTTCTTCATTTTTCAGATCCAAATCATTATCTCTGAACAGTTGTAACCATCTTTTGCACTTAACTTTGGATACAGCATGATCACCATATGTTTTGACAAGCATTCGATGCGACTCTGCAGCACTTTTCGTCAAATGGAAACAAAAAATTTATGTTTTCCGCAAATCATCAATTTCTGTCAAAATTTGACATTTCATTGTATCATAAGGTTATCGAATATGTTTGGCTGATGTCATGCCAACCAAACAGAAAAAAATTAAGACTCGTTCACAACAAATCTTCCCTACCAACACATTTGGTGTCTTAACGCTCACTTTATACCGGTAATCCTCGTAAATGCGTCAGAAACATTTAATTTTACATCTTGGAAGGCACAGGAAGGGTTTTTAGGAGCAAGTATCAAAAACCAAACGATTGGCGTGGCAGCGCTTACCTTTAGGTGAAATAACAAATATCATAATAACGTATATCCGGACCTACTTCATCAAATATTATATTATATAATATTATCCTGACATCCCTACATTACAGTGCGAAAATGGGCGAAATCAGATTAAAGCCATGTCTACTTCCCTTATGAAACAACTTTAAATTCCATCTGATTTTTTCACCTTCCAGTATACATATTAAGAACCAATAAGTATATCCGGATAAAACTATGCACGAATAGTGTCTTTGAGGTATGCCGTCTTATGACTAAAAATTGTCAAAATCGGACCATAATTATTCAAGCACACATATACCGGAAATGTGGACCCCAGAGCCTATGACAGATTTTTCCTGATATATCATAAGTACAAGTATGTCTGTGTCGGCCAATATGTGAGTTATCTTAATTAAATTTGATCTTTGTGCCAAAAATTTATAAAATCTGATGAAAACTTGCCCTAGCCTCAATATACAATAATTCATTATTTTCAAACTTTCGGCTAACTTTACTAGTTATCAGGGTTGCGAACTTTTTAATTAAAATATTTGGGATTAAAAATTAAAAATTGAAAATATTACTTTTTGAACGTTTTAGAACTCTAATTATCGAATAATCCTAAAAGTATTTGTCGGATTTACTTCATATTTTTTAGAAAATGTTTTTAGATATATTTTAAAAAAAATGTGTAAAAATAGGGTTTTTCTCCATAAAACTCCAGTTTTCTATGATTTTCAAAGAGCTTTGTATATATCGTACATGTTATATGTATGTATATGTGCATTAAGCGATTTAATGATCTTTACACACATACATACATTAAAAATAACGTTATTTGAGCGACACATTCATAAGTACTTATGTGACTTGTGTGCCTTTATCAACAATTTATTCTATTTCAATTTGTCTACGGTTAATAACGTTAATATTATCACCAAGTAGAATAATACTTTAATACGTATGTACGCCCGATTTTATCCAACAAGTCGATTATAGAGCAATTTTTTAAACGTAAGCGATTAATTGGCGAAACTCTCCAACTCTCTGGCATACAAAAGCAGTTAAAGTTTTTACAACATGGAGTCAACATTAACATCATAGAGACAAATAACTCTCGATATTTTGATTCTTCACGTCAATGCCAACCGCCTAAGATTTAAGTGGTAGACAAAGCAAAAATCTATACATTACTTTATTGGGTCGAACTTTTGGTAACCGAATCATTTCAAGAAATAGATCATGTGATCAGACTTTCTTATAGTACTATTAGAGTAGTTACGTGAAATACCTGGACTACCTGAACTACCTGGTTGATATTACTAACGGCAGCTGACCAGTTACTTTTCAACATATAACGTCAAAGTGTTTTTTTGCCGATATAATGTCGTTAATTTGTTTAAAACGAACAACTTTTAGTTAGAGAGATTTTAAATCAACAAATAAACATTAGTATTGAACACGAGTGGATACTATTTCCAAGCTCAAAAAGTGATTTTTCAAGAATATAGAAATGTGAAATCTACAAATGGATCAGCTCAAAAATGGAACTATAGTTGTACCAGCGCTCACTTTAGGTGAAATT